TAGTGATTTACAAGGAGTCAGTGGATCAGGTACATGTTAAAAGAATCCGGATTTGCAATGCGACCTCAGCCGTATAGATATGACACGTATTTAACGACGGGTGTAATTATGTATTTACTTTAATTTAGGAAATATTCTCAGCTATTAAATGCTCTGGTTTCGTTTTCTCAACATGAACCCCATTCTAAAAATGTAGTGACGGATGTATTCAGGAATTCAATTCGTAGTTTTTCTTCCATCATATTCATCTCGCCTTCCGTCTTTCCTGTTTCCTTTGTTTCGTAATACATTTCTCCTTTCAAGCTATCTTCCTCTTGCTTAACAACGAGTCAGTAAAATTTCGGGGTTAAAATGTGCCTTCTTGCAGAACTTTGTGCTGAAAAATGTAAACATGTTGTTCGCTCTTGCTGATTTCCAATCCTTCCCGATTTCTGTTGTATAATCGTTTCTCATTAACTTATAATGAGATTCCACCCAGCACAGGAGACAAAGCAGCAACTTAAATTTTTTAAACTTATTTATAGGTACAGATATAATCCAGTTTGATAACGAACATCGCGGCCAGAGACAAAAGACAAAAAGCCTGGAAATACTGTTTAAGAGTTACACTTGTATGAAAGCATCGCACATCAATTATACATCACTCATAGTTTTAACGTTGTGTAATTGCAGTTAGACTAAAGGTAGCAAATGTATACCATCAGAACTGTAAGAAACACAAAATAAAGAAAAAATGTTGCTTGCACTGTTCGTATGCATGAGCACTGCAGTTGTAATGGCAAGACATGGCTTGACGTCCCAAGACTAATGGCATCAGTTGCCCGTTGTAATGAGGGACACACTGAGCCCTTGAGAAAGAAGGCAACAGTTTCCGAACTAGAAAGCACAAGTTCTACCTACCATCCTCTGCCTTTCGTTCGACGGTTTGCCGGGCAATAAATCCACTCATGTGCGCACTGCTGGTTTCCCCACTGTCGACTCCTTTTTGGGATAAAACGAGGCTTTGTCTGGTTTTGTTCTTAGGAGGGGCTTATACGTAAAGACGTTTCCTCAGCTGCACGGGTTATAAATACAACATAGAATAAAATTAATTGAAAAGGGTTTGAATTTAAGCGGCCGTGGCCGATTTAAGATACTATATGATAAAAAACGTAGACTGGTAACAAACATTAGAAACCTAAGTCAGAAAAGGCAATCTGTAGGTTGAGATTCAAAACCGACGTATCCGGAATACAGAGCAGGAAAGTAACACTGTACAGCAATGAAGATGGCTGTCTTCTGGGTTGTAGCGCCGTGCAGTCTGGTGGAAGTTTACCGACGTTTCAGAGGTCTATCTTGTCGCTACAATGCAGAGGACCACCGTGAAAATATCAAATTCTACAGCACAGAAACATTTGACAACTTCTCAACAAACTTCCAAAAAATAATTGCCGGTAAAATGAAACAGACAATGCATTCCTTGTAATGATAATGCTTCTTATAAAGTAGGTTGCATTAAAATCACATAACATCGAGTCCAGTCAGTACAGTTGGGCGGGGGGAGACAGGACAGAACGTGAAGCCCATTACTTATATTCTGCTATGCCTAGGTTAAGAATGTGTGGAGCTTCAAACCCACTCCCCCATACATCCATGTGGAGTAGTGCTTAAGCACAGCACATCTACCTCTCTGCCTTTATGAAAACCTGACATGGCCGGCGTGAAGAAATACGAAGCTTAATTCGCTAGCGTCTTTAGTGTCTGAAAAGAACTGCATAAAGTTTCCTCGCTGAATCGCATGTCATTATAACTTATATCCGTAAACTAGAATTCTTGTTAGGAGCAATCAGTCTACGTCGATTAGGGCAAGTACAAGGACTTTTTTGGTAATCAAAATTATGACGCCTTTATCTCATCTCTTAAATTTTAGGGTAACTGAATTTGCACTCATAATTTCAGAGGTGAGATGAACTGACTTTAATTATATAATTACGCTTCTACATATTTTGAACAGTTACTCAATTCTTGGTTCGTGTGTTACATGTTTCTAGTACGAACACATGCCTAATTGATAATAAGCGACATAAGACACAAGTATAACGTCATTTTTTTCCTTGTTACAGTTCTCTCGGTAACCAAGCTTCGCGGCATTCGTGTTGGTAACTTAAGATACAACAGCAAAATTGAGCCTCACATCGAACATAATGGCCTAGTGAACTACTGAATTATTAATACAAACGAAACCTGTAATAGCAGGTGCCAGTCGATGCCAACTGTTTGCAGTTCCTACACAAGTATACTGATTCTCCGAAGATTTGCAGTTTTATGCTGAAGTATTATGTAAGGCTTCAAGTAAATTAAACGTTGATTGTAATCTCCCAAGTGGCTGGACATTCTGCTTTACCTACAAACCTCAAACATTTCCTTCTCATTTCTCCTTATTTGAATCAACTAATATTTCAAAGTGGCGAGAGAGACGTAACATTCCGCGAAATGGTAAGTAGCCTTACCAAACAAAATACATATATTCCTTTGTTTATAAAGCATGAATTAACATTTAAATTATTTTGGCAGTGTTATATAAGTTTTAATATGGCCGAAATAAATGCTTTTCTTGCGAAGTTTCAAGGTGACCACCAATGTAACACACACTAGCTGATCCAAACAGCTAGGTCACCAAGACTTGAATTCACGTTTCTTTGTATGGACACAGTGGCTGACTGCAGGGTTACCAAACGAGCGGTTGCCTGTCTGCCTCTACGTCGGGGTTGGGCGTCTGACAGCTACAGTGATCTGCAAGAACCAGATCTGCTGTGGCATTGCTCTAGAAATCCCTTGCTTGGCGACATTACGTAATAATAACAGTGCAGAGGTCTCCTGAGATATTATATTAGCTACTCTGAAATTCGAGTCGCAGATGTGCTGTTTTGAGTTAGAGGTTGACTATGAGCATAAGTTATGGCCGTTGCGCGCACCAGAATGGAACCCAACAGCAAATTATAAGGTGTCTAACAGTTTCTTGCTCGCATCTTGTAAATCGATGGAATTTTTAATATTTTTTGTAATACTTGAGGTTCTGACGACAGTGAGAATGACGTTTTTTTTCTGGGCTTTGATCCCATGCAGATTAAAAGGTAGGACACCAACGTTTGGTAGAAACAAACTATTTCCATCTTCAGCTCTAAGACTCAAAACCCAGAACAACATTGCTATTTTTTGTAACGTTGTTTTGCTACAAAGTCAGTCTGTCAGTAGCAGAGTGTGACAATGAATTCAATAGATAGCATCCAGTGTTCAGAAAACCGTGAATGGTTCATGGCTATGTACTTATTCCTAGCTTTAACCTTCATTTTGAAAATATGAAACAAATGTCTCTGAATAATAATCATAATTATTGTGCACTTGCACGAGGTATAAACTAACTCCATAGAATAAGCTCCTTTTTGAAAAGCTGATTACTTTCCTGCATTCTATGTCACTCGAAGGTTCGTTACCGTGTTCACTACAGCCCGAATAGAGTCCCTATCCGAATGAATTCATTCCACAATAAAAACAACCCTGAATCGTATTATCACTGGCGAATTTCTTGTAAGTGCAGCCTCTTCTGTCGTTACTTTCTTCAATTTCGAAAATTTCTGCCAGCCAAATGATATAATCTTTATAAATGGCCGCAAGATCGCAGAGAATTTTCCAGTAAGCGTACTTCTCTTTCTCAGGGTTGTCGATACTGCGACCCTGAACTCGGCCCAGGTTGTGTTTATCGAACGTGCATTTTCATTCAAATACCAGCTGGAAATGTCACTGTGCCGCTCCGTGCCGTACTTTCTCTGGGTATCTGTGTGTCACGATTTCACTGAACCATGCAGGCTTACCTTACGTCTCGCCCCTGGGGGAAAATTTTCTAGTTTTTGTTAATAAATTGGAGAAATCTCATTACACGTCGTTTTATTGTCAGTATTGGTATGGTCATTATTTTCGTCCCTTCCCATCAACTATCACGAATTAGCCGATTCAGAAACAGCTCTCACACAGTGAATATTAGATTTGGAAGAACTCCTGTAATGGAGCATCAGTCCATCCTCCTATACAGGACAACAGACAGACAAAGACGTGAACTTGCATTTTTTTTACCCGAGAATTCGACTTGAGATTACAATATCAGAACACTCCAATTCACCTACTCAACAAGACCAGTTACAGTCAAGCACTAATCCATTTCAATAATATCGATATTACTATTACCAATTTATATCCCAGACACGCACGTCTAGTTGATAACTGTGAAGGACGTACATCCAGCCACAGACAGATCTGTATCTTATGTTAAGATTTTCATATAATAAAAGCAGTTTTAATTGGCATTGCTTTGATATTAAATGTGTAATTTCGCTGGGAGTAATATTTATACTGTTTTCATAATTTATCAATTTAGTGGTTTGAAAGAAAATAATCAAGATAATTTTAGGTGCTGTATAAAGCACTAACATTTAAATGACTAGCTTCATAAAAACGTTTTGAAAAATCGGTAAACGAAAATTTCATTCATACACAGAAAAAACCCCAAGATCTTGGCTCCTTCATCGCTGAATCTTTATTCTTCAGTCAAATTTTGTTAAAATAGTTTTCATGTTGTTCCACAGATTTTAGAGAGTGGACCTCTATAAGCTGAAAATGCCGAACTTCGATGCTGTGCTGTTCAAAGTGTAGGCTCGTTGGAGGATATACGAATCTGTTCACTTTTGTTGTTGTTGTCCGAATTAGGTAAGAGTCACGTAGCCGGGCCAGACTGCCATCTTGTAATTGGAAATCCTAACTAGCATGTAATATTTCAACACTAATCTATTGCGCATTTGTGCCACAATATTGTGTAATTATTGTTAAAGTCATATACTAGTAGTCATCCAGCTGAGAATTTTAAAAATGCTCTTTGATCATAAAATCTACAGGATTTTATGCGGCAAATATCGTAATTTCTAATTGCAGTCTCTTTCACCTTACTTCCTTGACTGAAATTAACTTACCTCACTCATGAAGACGTGAAAATAACGCGACATTTCATTCATACACCGACGTTCCTAGATGATAACGCTGTTGCCTATAATATTCTTGAACCGAACGGCCGAATATCTGTCTGTCCTTTTCTGGAACAAACAAGCCGTGTGATTATTTGTAGATTATAAATATTTATACAGTTGGTGTATTTTTTAATGGCATCTTGAAATTTTACTTGAGTGCACCAATACTTATGTAAACAGTGCGTTACTAAGACACAAAATGTTGTAGTAAAAAAGACAGATTGCGTAATGGCTGAATATTTGTTGTTCTTGCCACGGAGTTAATTAGTACTCCAGTTGTCTCTTTAATGTTATACGTGGTTTTCGTCTTCTAATTCATAGGAAATCAAGTTATTTGTGTGTCTAACGTCTTCCTTCTACACTCACTACATAATTTTTCCGTTCCCCTGTGACGAACGAAGCAGGAACGAGCTAAGAAGTTACTTAATTCCTTGTCGATGACGATGATTATGAACCATCCTCTTACAGCTTCCACTTTCGTACGTCCAAATATAGTCCATATTACCTGTTCTCAGACACTGGAATAATGTTATATAGAATACAGCCACGTGTCAGCGGATTAAAACTCCGGTCTTCGGCTAATCCGCACTACTGTGCAAAAAATAAAATAAAAACCTCAGGTGTAAGACCAGACATCGTACTCTGAAGGTAGGATACAAAGTGAAAGTACAAAACTCAAAGTGCTGTGGGATATATTCTAACCATGAGTAATCAGCTAACTTGTGACTAGCGAAAATTACAGCACGAGGAACATAAGATTTTAAAATACTTATAACAGGCCCACTGCACTGCTAAGATGATTACATGTATGTCGTAGTGACAACCTGAACATCTAGCATGAATGGATAAATAAATTATTACCAAACTTTGATACAAAAATCAAGGTGCAGTCGTAACTGTATTGAACTGGTTAAGGTAAAGCAAGATGATGACCATAACGAACATGTATATTAACAGCAATTATACGGGCAATTTCGTGGAGTTGCAGCTCCAAGCATTCTTAATACCAGCACACTTCATTTTAATCTTTAGATGGAAAGGCGACGAAAGAATTAAAAATCTGAACGGTATGGTGTCACCCTACAAGTATATTAAAACGAAGCTTCTGGTATCCTAGACCTCGATACCAAATTGGTGTTAGTGGTCAACTTATGATCCAGCCCCTTTTGTCCCTAGCACAGACTCCACAGTACCAACTGGGCCAAGAGCTTGCGTACGTGTTGAAGAAGATAAATGTCTCTTCCGGTAATCAAATGCCGGTCATTCATCCAAAAGCAGTCCTTTTATCGAGTAACGAGTGTCCTGGTTCGTTTTGCTTTTAATGTAGGTATAAGTCCGTCTGGAACATCGACCTTCGGATGAAGATGAAATATCCCTGGCTCGTTTGCGATGCTATCACATACACCTCAGGGGCTGGCCATTGCAGTCAAATTATACACGCGTGCCCTTGGCATTTCCATGACGGCATATCCCAGATCATCTGGAAGTGCAGGAACAGCTCGAAGTGACTACCACTACATCACGAGGTGTTACACAGAACAATGAGTCATTACGGACTATAGGCTGCAAATGTTTATTACTAAGTCGAAAGAAAATATTAACAAGTCTACTTTCCAAAGCACACAAGACCGAGAAATGAAATTAAAATTTTGCGATTTATTTTGTATTTGTATAAAGCGTAGTCTCTTGTTTTGAGGGAATAATATACATTAGTTTGAAAAATAAAAATAATAAGAGGGCAAAAAGTCCTTCAGAAGCTGGTGATCGTAAAGCTGGTCAAGAACTTCCACGCCTTTTATGAATCCCGAACGAAAAGTTTAATTATCGTGTTCACAACTGTGCATGGATTTCTATGGTCTAAACCAGCAGTAGCAAACCCTAGTAGGCGCGCTAATTTTGAGAATGAATAATTTACTGTGACCACGAGGTCGAAGGCGTGGTTCTTCACTACTGGCATACTGGAATCGTGGGTTCGAATCCAAATTAAGGCATGGATGTTTGTCCTCGTGTTTCTGTATTGTGCTGTCCTGTGTAAGTAGAGGCCTTGACGAAGAGCTCATCATCCGTGCAATGAATACTGAATTTATACAGGCCATAAACCCGAATCCATAAAATCAAAATCATTTGTTTACGTCAACTCTTTAAAGTTCTGTTTCTATTGCATGTACCACCTACTTCAACAATTAATAAGCCTACATTTTGTCTGTAGTGTGCATTTATCGGTTTCACTTAATTATAAGAATAAACAGAGAATATTTCACCAGTTGTAACCAGCTGTTCTTCGTAATGGGTAAGCATTGTGCATTTTTGAGACGGCCAATGACTATTTATACTTGCAAACTTTAGCTTCAAAGGGTTAACAAAGCAAGGCCCTTAGGACACCTCCGGATAATAATTCTGGTTAATCGTGTTTCAGTATAGTAATAATAACGGAGCATTGCTAGATTTGCAGACACATAGACTGACATGTTACCAGACAGTAATTACTATAGTTGAACATATCACGCAGAAAATAACGTTATAAGGATTTTGCGACTGGAGGAGGTTGATGAACTCTTGTCACTCAATTCTCGTCTGGCCTCAAGTGTTATTGGTCGGTCTGGACACGACTTAGAGGTCCAATGAAACTCCCTCCTACATGAGTATAAAGCTATTTCGAAATCAAAAAAACATTCAATGTTTTAAAATATTAGTTTTAAAATAACAGCTTGCAGGTCTTTTAATTCTATTCTTGAAACAAATTAACCGGTAGCTAACACGTATTACTTAATGGAAGTGGGACTACAATTAGGTTTTTTATGTATTTCCAGTCAATCTTACTGTCTGTATATTTGTAATTAATTTTAATATTATCCTCCCCACTTTTGGGTTTTCAATTCAAGTTCCCATATCTCATCCGTCTTCATAACATTACCCTGAAAATATATGGTAAATAATATAAATACGTTGTGGTGCTCATTATGCAGTTTTAACGGCAGATTTTCATTTCTTAGATCCAAATCTTCTCAACATTCTTCATTTTCACTCAGAACAACCAAATAAATTTTATACCCATACAAACATAGCTTTGTGGGTGATATTTTTATTAATAAACTTTTGGATAGGCAATGAGAAGTTGAGACATTCTGAACCAACGTTGTTAAATAACGCAAGAACCTCATAGACATTGTGGTAATCGTACGTTGAGAAAATAAGTTCTTAGTAGCCTATTACTAATTTTGTGGAACCGGCGTGTTCACCTGTACCCATAATAAGCGACATGTTACATCTCATAAGAAAGATGAGTTGCTGGTAGATACGGTGATTAAAATTTATTTCTGTAACTGACGAACCAGTATGATGCTTCGGGCAATTTTGTAATTAAACCTGTGTTCTCTGATGTCACTCATGCAACACACCAAGATACGTACAACAGAAGTTGGCTTTTCACAGAACAAAGACTATTACAGCATTACGGAAGTACAAGAGTTTCTTTTTCTCCACAGATCCTGCCATGTTCTCACTGAAAATAAGAGGTGGAAATAAACTAGCCCATGGTCTCTGGTGAGCGGTTCGTATCCCGACATGCGAATTGTCCTTCTAAATCAGGTTTCTACCAGCACGCAAAATTTGCGATGTTCCTAGAGCGGATGTGTCCGGGATAGTCACGGAATCCTCACGGCCAATAGTGACCTTTATCAATAGAGCGCGTAATGAACTGAAAATGGACAGTTATAACCACACAGCCCAGGTTAAAAGTTCTTGCAAACTGCTTGCCCTGAAAGCAATGGCGTGTCTCATTCCAGCAATGCCATAATGCAACTCTGTAGAAATGTTCATTTCGAAATCGATAAGGTCAATGCTGGTCACAGTAGCTGCTAGGTTGGGGGCGTGGGTCCTCATCGCTCTGACACTAGGGTCGTGTGTACGAATGACATTGATGTTTGTCCACGTGTTTCTGTGTTGTGCTGTCAAGTGTAGGTAGAGGCCTTGAGACGGGCTGTTCACTTGTCCAAGGAGTCCTACCAAAACCCTGCATACCTTAAAAATCACCCACGTACCCATCCAAATTGGTAAAATATCTATAAAAGTTAAGAATTTACGAAAATTCTAAACAATTTTCAAAATTTTTAAAAATTTACAAAATTGGCAAAAATGTCCCAAACACAAAAAATTTCTAACATATTCAAAATTCAAAGTTATTTTAAAAATTTATAAAAAAATTATACTTTTAAAAAACCACAAATATTTCCAAAATTGGCAAAATATCCCCAACATATAAAAGTTTTCGAAAACCTTCAAATTTAAAAAGAATTTCAATATTTAGAAAACTTTTCAAAATTTTGAAAACTCATAGAATTTCCGTTATTGCCAAATATCTCTCAAAAATTAAATGCTCGAAAATATCAAAATAGTTCTCAAAAATTTGAAAAATTATGAGAATTCATGGCTAGAAATCTCAAGAAACTAAATAATTTTCGAAGTTTATCAAAATTTACGTAAAAAACCTTAGGTTGTTAGATTAGGTGAGGCTAGGTTATTTGGGCTATGTTAGGTTAGGTTAGGTTAGGTTAAGTCGTGTTATGTTGTTAGGCAATGCTGAGTTGAGTTTGGTCAAAAGTTCTCAAAATTTTGATGAATTACAAAAAATTCCAAAATTGGCAAACATCTCTAAGAATTAAGACTTTTAAAAGTTTTCAAAATTGAAAAAAATTCAAAGATTGTTAAAGCAGGTGGTACATGCAGTTTCCACTCGGTTTTAAAATGACAAAACATTTACGCCATATCTAAAATTATGTATGGATTAACCAGTGATTTGAATAGTAGTCTAAGCTATTTTCTGCTTCTGTATTTTCTTTTTATGGAGTAAACAGTATGAAAGCAGACAAATAAATCCAGTCTTTTATCTATTTTCATCAAACGGTGTGTATCCTTGTGTTCACTCCATACGTGAAAACATTAATCCTGCCGTGAAATGTTGTTCTAACCGCATTAGAATTATAGTCGGTGATGTTACATGGCGAACCTCTTTCTTTGTGAAGTATCTTCTAAAATTCCAACATCGGATGAGGAAACAAGGTTTCAGT